AATATAATGGATTATAGACCTCAGCTGCTACCTTGACGTGGCATTCAGGCTTGCCTATTGTGGTAACCCAACAGAGCTTTATTTGCTGGAACATATGTTCCACAAGATTTACCTTTCAGAAGCAGACTACACCGGATATAAAACTCGACAATACCAGTCAAATACACTCTAGGAATGAAAAATCTATCAAACTATCAATGCAAAGCAAAAAATTGTTGCTGCGTTCAGAGATCGCGCCATTCTCTTTGATACTCTACCCAACTTGGTTAAATGCGTGACGTTTAGCCTGTGACGACGGAATTTTATAATCTGGTTCGTAACCTCGGGTACAAAGACTGTCCACTGGCGAAGAGTGAAACTCAAAAACATAAAATTAAATAAAACTATTGAAATTTAAGTCATAGAATTGATTAGGCTTTTAAAGTTCATTGAAACTAACATAGTCAAATGGACTAACCGAATGACTGACTTGATGTCAGCATACAATATATAGTAAGCAGCCTATATATCTTGACAGTTAGTTATTGTTCATTTATATATACATATATATATATATATATATATATATATATATATATATGTATATATATATATATATAACTGGATAAACGAAAGTATTGGTAGTCCTCATAGTTGAAATGACGGACTGAATACAACTTGAAAGCTGGAAACACTGAACAGCTGCTTTACCTTAATATGGGACTCCTTAGCCTATAGAGGTGACATCCAAGACCTTTGGTCGAATAGCAACTGTTCAACTAATAGGTCAGAGCTACAGTTGATTCGAGATGTTGCGCACTCATCTTCCAAAGCCTATGATTTCCGGTTTACGATGAATATCTTACCTAGGTCGATTCTTGACATCCACGAAAGTTTGTCAATAACCATCAGTAACAATTAGTTTCAGTCGATACTAGAAAGTTTGATCTGAGACCTTTGGAAAATGGAATAGTTTTGCAAAAATAACTATACTTCATAATTTATGGAAAACGAGATTATAAATAAACATGGTGTTTTGTAGTTTCAGTCTATTAATCTGTATGTAATTCTGTCATCAACATTGTTGAATTCTTGCAAACTAGCCAATTCCAAACCTGTCATGATCTCGTAATGAGAACAAACTTAAATAAAATAATTCTGACTAGAGATCACAATGAAATGTGATCAGTGGAACTCGCCCAATAAAATGATCCAGACAGCTACGACTTTGGTTACTGTCATTACATAATCAATCCTGTATTTATGAATGTACATGCGTAAATAATAGTCGAACGCTTTTTACAACTGGTCTGTATGATTTCACATGTTTTCTATTTAATAAATCGCAACAAACTACTGAACATAGTATATTGATCATGAAGTGTAGATAAAATCATTTGGAAGTAAGAAGAATAGGCACGAATGAAGTCGTAGGCGTGTTACATAAAACCAGTTGAGTCAGTTTGATTGTTTTAAATAGTAATTAAGTGTTAGGTTCACATACTAAATGACGTATTTTGTCGATTATAAACCTAATTTAGTCAATAAATAAAGATTTAAATGGTAGTTACTCCATTCAAGTTAAGCAAGCACAGGGTTTTTAATCCCATAAGACGTGAGTTTACCCTGTAAGATGCAGGTGGTTAACCAAGTCAGTAGCTTTAGAAAAATAAAAGTGCAGCACTGAGATTAAGAGTCCACAGTTACATTAAGTAAAGACTAAACTGAAGAGATCAAAATAGCATGCCATACAATATGGACTTTTAAGAAAGCCATATTGAGAATTCGTGATATAATACTGAATGAGTAGATAGTCGTAATGTTAGTCACTAACAATTTTTTTTCACTACCCTAGAGATAAGTGCAGTAATATTTATGGGCGGATGATTTTTATTATCAGACTTATTTTTCTAATTTGTAACGTCATATGATGTAAGAGGTTTTCTATCAATCGGAGTGAGTACCAGTAGTGGTATATTAGAACCAACACATTTGAAGGGAATGGATGGAATCTTATCCACTACTTGACTGTTTGAGAACTTAATGAAGTTGTTACCTTTACTTATTGCTAGATAAAAGGAAGCGATAGAAATTATTGACTAACAAGTCTGATAAATAACTATTAAAGTATTACTGGTTAAGAACTCATAACTGTTCACCAAAATGATGCTGCAAAGATTTTCATTGGTTTTAGAGACGCTTACAAACGTGTCATTATGCATGATACATGGTATATCTACTCTCTGATATGCTGTAACACGTTTATTGGAAAAGGATATTCGTCTTTTTACTTTAGAGTTGTTGTTAAGTGCTATCAACTTACGAATTTGAAATCATCAAACGAAATAATAATGATCCCAATTTATCTAGAACTTAGACAAGACACAAAGAAGAATTCCGATTTTAGGTAGGCAGTTCTAGTTTGTATTGTTTTACTACAGCAGATTTAAACACAATATGAAATATTTTTTATTTTACAATAAATGTACTTACTATTCAACACGTAACTCCTCACTGATGGCTTTCAACGTATGATTTTCTATAATACCGTAAAAAATTATGGTTATTTGTACAGATGCTGCAAAATTATTTGACTTAAAGTAACATTTCTGCAGGCATCTCCATTTGTTATGGTCTTCAGTTGGTGTAAGTAATTCGTTCGGCTTACTAATCGGATATATTTTAAGAGGTTCACAAGAATCTAAAAATGAGTTTTTTCAAGTTATAGGCTAGTTAGCGTTTGTCATTGACAAACTACAGTGCTGGTTGATAGACGAAGTGTTAACTCCGTGGGCCAATTTTGTTAATGAGTCAACAGGACTTTTGCACTTTCTAGAGGTTCGAAGTACGCTTGTGAGTAAGTCATTAGTGGGTAGTCTTTAGAACACATTCCACTATATATATATATATCTATCTATCTATCTATCTATCTATATATATATATATATATATATATATATATACATTATTGCGTTGATTTCTCTTTCATGACATTCTCCATTTCATAGGTTAAATTTTCGTAATTTTTCTTTAGAAATTCATCTGTTACTCAAGATTTATTATTGTACCATGTCATGAGTTCACATGCTTAAATAATTTATAGCTGGAACAGAACTCTTATTCAATGCTCCCTGGTCATTAGTGGGTTTTCAATCGAAATTAACCCAGATTATCCAAAACATAATTCAAAACTATCCAGTTTATTATCAGCAGTAGAAAGACGATTTACATTTTCGTTTTCCAGTACTGAAAATTTTTATCGCTTAGTATGAAAAGGAACTTCATCAAACATCTTAGTAATAATGGGCTGAAAAATTGTTTTCGTTATGTTTGGCTATCATACGTTTATGATAATAATATGCAACTTTAGCCATAGGTTTTAGTCAGCGAGTCAAGATACAAGATTGACTATGATCACCACTAAATGTTCCATACGGTCCCGTCACGTTTATCAAAATAAATCCATGTACCAAGATTTTATTGAAGGAGACAGTAGGCATTACATCGGGAGCAAGGCATTTAGAAAAATGGCAGCAACGCGAAGAGAACGTTGCGCGCAAGAAGTGGTAGAAGTGTTTTTGGTACAGTTAAACAAAACGAGTACAATATTGTTTATTTTTTACAAATCGTATTTTCTTCGTAGAAGCGTTCCACTACAACGTTGTATATGGTTATTGTCAGATGTTTTACTCCAACATTTACTTCATAAGTAATGTCATTAACTATACATATGACTGTGGTAGATATCCAAGCATGCCCACTGTCGGAAGCTTCTAGTGTATATTTATAACCTACTCGTATACTGATATTCATTGTTATAAGCCTTAGGTTTGTAATCCTACTAAACGTTTCTAACCTGAATGAAATCAAACAAGGCATGAATGTTTATTCTACTGAGAATATACTTTTAAGTTCAAGCTTCAAAATGTTTTTAAAGCTATCAGCCGTCATGTCACCCTGTTGTGGACGGTAGCGAATTTCAAATATCCAGATTTTTTTTATCTCAAATAATCTACACACTTTCATAATTAAACAGTTTCAGTTTTAAGTAGTGTTTGGTAAAAATCGAAGTTGGCCTAATAGTACACATACACAAACTATAAAAGATTCGTCAATATTGCATATTGTTTTAGATTGAGTAGCTAGTTACTTATACCAACCTGTATTTAAATAAATGATAATCTATATCCTATTTACATGCATAATTCAACATTCAATTATTCTATAATTATTCAAAACAAAAAAAAACAGAACAATTATTTACCTGTGTTACCAGAAGCAACAATTAAAACAAATACACATATGACATATATACACATTCACTTATTCAAGTCATTGAATAATAAGCAGTAGATAAAGGGAACAAAAATAACATTTAATATGATTGAACAATATTATAAATATCTAAACAAAAACGTTGATATCATATTTACATTGCAAACAAAACAATGAGTTTTGAACACAACTAACAAACAAAAATTTACAATGATCAGTAAATTAATAGTTTTTGAAAAAAAAATTAACAATTTATTTCTTATTATATTGGGTTTATTGTCTAGGTAATTTATTTGTACATATATATATATATACATAAAAACTATTCTGATGACCTTAACAAGTGATCTCGTTTATCAATGACACATTATTTATTAGTTTAAACAAATAAAACATACGAACACATACACATGCATGGAAAATTTATGTTCAGAGCAATTGTTCTAATTAGTTTAAAGTAATATACATACAAATATTGTTATATTGATCGCTTAATGTGAGCTTTAAATAAAAGAACTAAAAAAAGAACAATTCATTCACAGAAAAACACAATAGAGCGTGAGTGAGTGAATAGTCAATAAAAACAGCATATTATACACAGGGTGTATAATTTAAGTAAGCTTTAATCATATTTTGAATATTGAATATTGCCTGCCGGAAACATTCATTCCACATAACATTGAATCGCATACATACAAGCAAATTATTATTATTATTATTATTCTTCATCTTATAACATTTTAAACATGGGATGTGGTGCAAGTGGATTAAAAGATTGTAAAGCAGGTAAGAAATGAAAATTATGTTTTCCATTTTGAAAAAATATTCAATGATCAATATTCTCTTTTCGGTAGTGCATTTAGCTGGGTTTTTTATTATTTCCCTTTTACTTAAGATATAATAAAAATGAAATTGCATAAATGATATGGTACATAAATTTAAAAGTAATTTATAAAGTTCAATTACAAATAGACCAATAAAATTTAGCATGAAGTTAGGCATTTGTGCACAAGACCGAAGGTCTTGGATTGGAATCCTGCGAGTTGCAGGAGTCATGAATGCACACTGTTGACAAGTTCCATACTAGGACGCAACGGCCATCTAGTGCTTCCAGGTTTCTAATGGCGGTCTAACATTGAGCGATTCATGATTTCAAACATTAACTTTTGTCAATTAGTTAGCGCTAGCTGTAAGTGCAATCTAGTGCAGATATGATTGTTGAAATAAACTTTGTGCGTATACATATCTGAAATTGATTATAATATTTAGAATTCTTATTTATAAGATGGAAAAATATTGAATTCTGTGGTTTATGGGAGGTAACATATGAAGCTAGTAGATGCTTGTTGAATCCAGGAGATAAACCGACAGACATCCACTAGTTAACAGTCAGAAAGTTTTTTGCCATTATATTTATCGCCAAGTTAGATTATCTTACCAGATTCAACTCCTTAGAATTTCTATTTGTCCACAAATTGAGATAAACAGATACCATGAATCGATCAATGTTAGACCACCATTAGAAACCTGGAAGCACTGTACGGCAGTTTCGTCCTGGTATGGGACTCCTCAAAAAAACTTAACAATCTTCACAACCCCGTAATGTATAAACAGATACGTATCAAAATTTGTATGGTAGGTAAAAGGCTTGATTTAAGAGAACTTGCAAAGATAACTAGTCATAAAGGACATTGAATAAGTCTGTTACCAACAACAAGATTTATTCTGAAGCGTATTTAACTGATGCAAAGCAAAAGTTCGTAAATTAAAGCTTTTATGAACTAGATTAGTCTTATAATGAATGATCTTTTCGATGAATTTCTTATTCTGCTTAGTTTCATATCTTTCTCGTTAGCTAATCTCAGATTCATGAATAAGTTGAGAAAAAACAATCATTTTTAACAACATCAACGTGTAGGTGAGAGTTAATTAGCTCTTATTGAACAGTATGCATTGGGAGCATAAAACTACATTTCTGGTCATTAAAGTATCAAGTCAGTGTAAGAAGTTTGCAGATTAACCAGTATGTAAATTCTAGAGACTCGTATATTCTATTTTGATTTACCCAGTAAGAATTATATTTCTTACTCATTTCCCTTGATAAAATGAGTGGACGAAAATGTAACAAACCGAAACTTTTATAATTTAAAAGTTCTAGTGTATACCCTGCAACATCCTTATCCTCTCATAATACAAACTTTTATTTTTAATCATTTAAATTATTACGTAACCCACGTTTAATATCTGGAATTTCTTTCTTTCGACTGATCTTGTTGAAACAATGAGTGAAGACCTAGGATGGAACTTTTCCCTCAAGCTATCTTAAAACATCGAACCCAGGTCTCACGATCTTTCGATAGATGAAATTTTCTGACACTAAAATAACCAAACAGTTGCAAGCTGTTTGTCTGTTTACTAGTCTTGTCAGTAATAGATAACTGTCAGAAAAATCAGTACAGTTTAAATAAGCGATACTGCCAAACGTAGTTGGCTTGTATATAACCTATACTTAACTACCGCCTACTTCAACGTTCAATATTTTATGATGTAGAGGTAGGTTGAGAAAAAGATTGATAATAACTTAGTACATGAAGTCACTCACTGTCCGGTGGATTGGAACGCGTGAGCTGATGCATACTGCATATTTGGAGTCCTGCTGATTATTGTACCAATGATTGAAGACAGTTGTTGACATGTTTCAGAATCGGTGTCAGTGGTGTTATTCATTAGATTCTGAGTTTTAAAATTTTTTTCTAACTTTTGATTCCACAAATTCATCACTTCTCATCCAATCATATTACCGATATCTTATGTTCTGTAAAACTACTGTGTATAATATTACTTCTACTACTGAGACATTTGTCTTGTTTTTTTTTATTTCGTTGTGTTTTTATTGAACGATAAGTTGAATCAACAGCATATATTAGGTTCAATGTTTGACATATGGTTGACAATACAGAAAAGTTACTTAATTAGGACGAAACAGCTGCTCAGTGCTTCCTGATTCTCTGTGGAAGTCTAATTTAAGCCAGTCTTCAAATATTTGGTGATATCAAATAATCTCCACAAACGTACTAGCTGTCAACCACTTATTAATTACTAACTAAATTGGAACGAAATTGTGTTCATGGTAAAATCACAATTTTACAACGGTTCGCTCCTTTTGCAACCCATAAGAGAAACCTTGAAAGAAACTGATGACGAGGAGTCAGAACAATCACTTTTCCATTCAAATCTAAGTTACTCTGTAACAACATTCATATAAAAAAAGACTGATTGGAAGAAACTAGAACAACAACATACAATGACCTTGAGTACAAGGTTGATATTTAGCTTTTTAAAAGATCGATGAGAAACTATGAAAACAGCATCTTTAATTGCGGCAAAAATCAAAGGTATCTCTCGCGAGAAAGCTTTTCATGTCATTTGTCAGTTGATTACAAGGTGTGAAAAGCTTTGTTCTTTATCTAATCACCTATTTCTTCTCAGTTTCTTTTGTTGAGATAGACTCACACCCATTGTAATTTTTGAAAATACCAGGTGATAACTATCCAAATTTATTATTTTTAAATAAATGACTACAAAAATTTTATGATTTAGACGGCCAAAATCTTCTTTCGTAAAATAACTATTTCTTAGTACATACTTCTTTCAGTTTTACCGCGAAATAATGTTCAAATTCAATTGCATTTAAGTAGAACAATACATGTACACAATTTTTAAATGTGGAAAGTAGACTCTCGTGTATGTGACTAACATTCTGGTTGGCGTTTTTTTTGTTAGTTAATTTTCTACGGGGTGGGGTCGCTAAGCCAAAGCCTAAAACTCCTTTGTTATCAGGGCTTTGGACCGACAGTAACTCTAGTGGGGTTTCAGGCAACCTTGAATATAAGAAAAGATGAACGACTTGTTTCTGAAGTAACTTTCACGAAATTTTTTTAAAAAAAATTAAACTTTGAAAACTATGGTCACATTGTGTAACTTATTTAACACTTACTAGAAAGGCTCAAAATTGTGTTCATGATAAAACCCTTTTTTTAAAGGGTTCACTTGTGGTGGCCAATGTACTTTCGTGACGGTTGATATTCAACATGTCCTTAGTCTGCGTAATTCGCTCGTCTAGGTAATCGTCCAGACAAATAGCGCCAGACGGTTATAAATCAGAAGGCAAACACGATCGGTTGAATAAGTCTATACCACAAAATGGACCAGCAGACCACAATCACACAGAGCAGGGCAAGTACACTAGCTAGTGAATCGGCGTATGAATTCATTAGATCAAAATGTACATATATATACATACCAAAATGTCTGAGTCATCAAAATATTAATATATATATATATATACATATATATATATATATATATATATATATATATATATATATATAGGATGAATATGCACGTAGTTGGTAAGCAGTGTACACTCGTACCAGCTCCTACAAACCAGATAATAATAAAAGCCAATGGTACATATAAATCTCTGCTATACAAATGGTTTGGTTAAATAAGTTAATCGAAAAGCTTAACCAAATTAAATTTAAGCAAACTCAAATATATGTGAAGGCAGAACATGTTTGTTTTGCAACTGATCAAGGAAACCTTGAGAGAAACTCATGCAATCCTAATATTTTGTAATTTTCATTAGATTCGCTATGCTCTGATTTATCGAAATCAACACTTGGTATGAAATACGTTAAACAAATTCAATTGTAAAAAAACTCAAAAAATCCCCCAAAAAAACCCAAATGTATATATCATGTTGATTTTACGAAAATTTCTCCACTTTTTTTTGTTGTCCTACGTGATTTTTAGTCAAATGAAATTTTATTTCATTACATACAAATTGATTTGATGTTAGAATTTTCTCTCTCAAACATTCAATATTTCGTAGCATGGAAAGTTAAATAGATTTGTATTAACGATATAGATTAAGCACTTCATTTGAAAATCGTTTGCCGTAGAATTAGTGTATTGATTACAGTCATATTTGGATTACATAATGGATCGATGTTTTATTTTCAAATTTAAAGGATTGTAAGATTATACTAATAATAACAGAAAATAATTCATTGGGATTTGTGTATTCCATTGGCGAAATTTCATTAAAAAAAGACTATCGAATGGTTGTCAGAATAACTACTGAATTGGTGCGTTAAACGTTTAAATGCTCACTGTTCGGTTTTTGAACGCGATCGATCGATCGATCGATAGACGGTAGAATGCTTCATAGCCTACAAAGATATAAGTAGTCATTTTATCATTGAAATAACTTGATAAGTGAAAATTTAACTTGACTAAAATGATAACAATTAACAACATGAATTGATTATATTTCACAGTTTTTCATCATCTGCTTATTCGGGCTTCTTAAAGCATATTGTTACGCTCGTCTCTAGGTATGTTTAAACTATTACGAGTTCACCTTAGTCGAATAACGAGAACAAACAATGAACCAGCGTCCACGCAGGCTACTGTGATCCCTTGACCAAATCGAATCAACAAGAAGTCTTGATATAGTGTAGAAATCGTATTCTACAAACACCCAGCAAGCACACAATGAATCTAAGCACTCGAATTGTGTTTATTTATACCTTATAGGGACGTCCTTGGGAGAGTCACAAATATAGCACAGTAAAATGACACAGTAACCAATCACAGCCAAGGATTTCCCTGGTGAGAAATGTGATCTCAAGGTTAACTGATCGGTTGAAAAAATCAATCCAAAATAAAGATATTTATTAAGCAACTTCTGGGGATCTAACATCCCCAACATATATACATTGTAAGCATAGGGGGGAGAGTTCCTCTGAGCGTGTGTGGCACTTACCTGTAGTCTATGATCGATAATGTCAGAATTGGAAAGCACAGTAAGTTAGAAGTGCAGTACAGGACTAGTGTTTCGTTTTATTCAGGGCTCGTTCTTTGGATATTTCTAGATTATCTTGTTATATTCACACAATGACAGTCCAATACATGTACTAAGCTTCCTATCAGTGATAATCACTGATTTGTTTAACAGTATGATGTTTATCCTTATTAAGTGGAATAGTTTGCTTAGATCATAGATTAAATCTGTTCACTTCGCTTTGTACATGTGTCTTCCTTGAAAAGATCCCATTTACTGTCTACATTTATAAAGTGACCAGGTTTTAGAGAAAAAACTGGTACTGACATTAAAAAAACGCTTTGTACCATTGTTATTATCAAGCATGATTCGTTAACACATTTAACTATAAAAAAATCAAACGGAAGAAACAATGAAAATAAGCTTTTTTCAGATTGGAAATGTAATTATTTTAAATTATAATCAATGTCTACAAGAAATTCAATCATTCACTAAAACAAAAAAAAATTGAAATTTATTTATTCATGACTGTTTCTTTTAAATGTTGTATAGAAGTAGCTGATCCAACCAATGATAATAATGATGCAAATATTACAGAAACAGCAGTTGAAAACCCCATAGATCCTGAATTCTCAACTGAAAAAAGCAATCCACTGTCAGACCAAATTCAATCGGATGAATCAGAACATCAAACAACACAGAATCATGAAACTACAGAAGTTTCAATGATTGCTGAACAAAACTCCGATGTACATACAACAAATGATGTGCAAGTAAGCTATTTTCTTTTTTGTGTAGAAGATACCTTAATTATAGAAAATGAAAGAAATCAAGTCACACAGTATATTTCCGATTTCTTGTGATTATTAAGATACAAACATATAAATATTGATTAGGTAGAATAATTGTTTCGTTCGGATATATATTGAAATTCAACTAAAAAAAATATTGTAGAAGATATGTTTATGATTATTTATAGTTTATCTTATGAATCTAAATCAGTTAGTAAAAATACATTGAAAAAAACACAGATTAATTAACAGCTATTGAGCTTTATTATGTGAATGCTTAAAAGTGTTCATCCCCAACTTCGCTATATGAATTAAGCTCACATACTACTGATCTCACAATGAAAGTTTGATGTTTTAAAAACAAACTTGACATCCAATGGTCGACACTTCTAATATTAGCATTCCGGGGTTGTGAAGATTGTTAAGTGACACATTTTTGAAACCATGAATAGATCATTGTTAGACCACCATTAGAAACCTGGAAGCATTAAAAGACGGCCGTTTTGTCCTGGCATGGGACTCTTTAGCTGTGCGCATCCACGACTTTTGCAACTCAGGGGATTCGAACCCATGACCTACGGTATTGTGCGCGAACGCCTAACCATCGGACCACTGGGTCGGTTTCTAACGGTGTTAATGTCTAACTTGATCAATTCACGGAGTAGCACAACCTCATACACAGTCTTCGGTAGTTACTGTCTACACCCGAACAGGTTGAACTTCACTCGATTCGTAATATTGCATAAACATCATCTTTTGTCAGTCGTGATATTTCTCTTTTGATTAATGCGAATAAACTGGAACTGTCATTATTTTTCGCATTATAATGAAGCAACTTACATCTCGAAGTTGGTCGTTGAGGAAGATGTAACTAATTTCTGCATTGTTTTTATTCCGGATTGTCGTTTGATCATTCTTTATTAGCATATAAGTTATTTAGGCTCATATAGGAATAAGTTATATGAATTTACAAGATTTTTGATATTAGCTGGCATTGGAGTTCAAGTAGTGTTCTTGTAGATATATTTGTGACTTGCTAATCGAACGAAATGTAACTCAGTAATTATTTTTTTTTATTAAAACTGACAATAAAGTCTTGATTCATTACTGTACAAATGTTAGCTTTTAAAAATTTTTTGATACAACACTATGAAGCTTAGTGATGGTTAATAATTATCATTAAGGCGACAAACGAACGACAGGACAATAATGTACCAGACTGAACTGTTTCGTAAACATTCGTAAATAAATCTTATGAATGGATACATTGATAAGTTATAAACTTACCTCCTGAACAACACTGAATAATACCTCTTGTGTATGGCATGAAACTCCACCTGGACCCCCTATTGGGTTACTTCCGGTCCCCAGTCCTGATAAAGTCGAACGGTTGGGCGCGGGGTTGGCGACTCTATCTCACAAAAAACTAAATCGCTAAAAAGACGCTAACCAGAAAAAATTAATTCAAACCATTGAAACTTTGCCGTTGGAGTTAGAAGGAAAGTTATAAAAGTCGCATGACGAAAGCCGAGTTTTTTCGGAAGTCACAAGGCATATGTTCCTTCTGATAACTAGAGCAATCGTCAGTATGCATGATGTCAAAATTATTTTTCCCCTTTTTTGACTTAATTATTTTAACTAACATTGGATTGGATTGTTTGTCTTTGATACTCTGTTTACGGCACAATAAATTCATCTAATCTAGCTTTTCGGAGAACGATTTCTAGTTGGTATGAAGAAATGTAAACTATATGTAACTTTTACTGAGAATCCCCTTCCCATTCACAACACAATACATAATAAATCAATAGTGGATTGTACTCAGCTAGTTTATGAATATGTCAAGAGTTACATATTCTTATACGTTTTCGTAATCTTCCATTGAAAAATACTTTATAGTTTATAATGCAAATAGATATTTATCAGACAATTATTAAATCTCTACAACTGATTTAAAATAATTTATATAAACTATCATTAACTGAATGGACTTGAAAAGTTTCAGTGTTGGATATCAACTTAGAGTTTTATAGATGAAGTATTCATAAGTCGTTGATTTGATTACTTAACATTGATCACGGTAAACTCTTGGATACAACTCGCTATTGTGCAACTGTCAACATAAGTGGGACCACGTGGTAATAACGGAATAGACAGATGACATTTTTTTATTTTGACTGCCATCAATTTTCTTTCAACCTACTTCCACGCCAGCTAACATCGTCTTGATATGTCCCAAATATCAACGTAGTGGAGTCAATTGTAGATAAATATCCCTTATGCATATATGCATCCCTTAAGACGAGATTTAAGTGTGGGTTAAGCGACCACCATTCCAGTTTAATTATACATCATATGCTGAAAATCCTACTTCCATAATATATATATATAGTATTTCAACTCTTTTTTTAAAATTTTCACAGCATATTTTAAAATAACCACAGTGTTTTTTAAAATGTCTCTTAAAAAATAAAAAGAATACTATTTTTTTAAATTCAAGTCTTCTTTAGCAATCGCTTTCATTCAATTGCGATGCATATGCCTCGAATTACCTTGTAAATCATTTTTGGTTAATTGATTTACAAAATTTAATATAAGATTTGTAAATGATTGATTAAATCCGCTTGCCAGTGATCTTCTTACAATGGATTTAATTTTTGAAAATGCAAATTCGATTGGATTAAGCACATAACTATAAGGGGACAAAAACATAATCTTTACTCACTTTTCATCAAAAACATTTTTGGTGATATTCAAGACATCGATCTTTACATTATCAAGGATAAAAAAGCAATTCTTAAAAATTGATTTTTGATTGCATTTTTCAATCAATTGATCAAAAAAATTGGATGAACTTATCGGAGTTCATTGAACCAAAAAATGTTTGAGCAAAAAGAACTTCATTTTCTGTGATTACGGATATTATCAAACTTACATTAGTTCCAAGTGATGACGGAACCATAGCACTTGCTGGTTTTCCTCTTGTAGATCTTCACAAAGTTCTTCTCAAATAAATATTAAAGGATGATTCATCAATAAAAACTTTTATGAAGGAGTCTTCGATATTCATAAAATCTTGCGCATATATCTGTCGTTTAAATTTACTTGATTCTGAATTGATATTGATCGATGTATGAGGACATTTTAAGTATGATAAAAAATTTTAAAAAACGCTGTGAAAATTTTAAAAGACGAGTTGAAATACTATATATAGTTTTAATCAAGATCGTGAATATTAGTGTAATTATTGGTCTCAGAATGCATGATACTTTTTTCATGAAGGTCAACGTATTCTGTTTATCTTTTTGTAAAACTTTATTTTTGTAACTCATGTACGTTCGTTTATCACTTGTATCACAATAACTAAAACAAATATACGCAACTTTGACCAATTTAGGTGAATATTTCAAAAAATCATAAATTAGTGGGATTTTGTGCACCATGTCAGCCATTGTATTCTCAAAATAATGATCATACTTGTAACGATCAATGTAAACGTGATTCTGTTGATTGTCCTTCAAAAACACATTTAAATTTGCCTCAACTTGATCCATTTTAAAAAATAAAAATGGCGAACCAAATAAAAATTCATTTAAACAAATTGAATAAGTTGTAAAAAAAAACACTTCTGTCGAAATTCACTGTGTATAAACAAAAATAAAGATTATACATCATGCCATAAAAGAAAATTATTATGTCATTATTATCGACAGTATTCATTTATTCATTGTTCAACACTGTTAAATATTCAATAAAATATAGAACTGTGATATTTATACGACATCTCTACATTTCTTGATAATTCATTTGAAGCTAATCGCTTGAAACAATATTAACTCGCATCATTCGATAATACCTGGTAATTTTGTCCACTAGACATGATTCATTCTTATTCACATCTAAGCATTATTTATATCAGTGAATTTTAAAAACAACTATCAATTCACTATTGTGAGTTAATTAGTTAGTGAGTTAGTTAGCTAGTTAGTTAGTTAGTTCATTGATTAGTGTGTTTCGGTATGATTCACTTTATTGTTGTTAAATGATTATATTTCTGTAAATTATTATTAATGTTAACTGTAAATACATGAATAGATGTTGTGAGCTGACTAAAATCTATCACATATATATATTCATTTAAATATCTATGTCGTCTGATTTCTGTCTGTATATTTTTTTAAACATCAATCTGTCTAATTGTTTTATTTTTCTGTGTAAAAATCCAATTTACATGTAACATTTAATTGCATTTTGTTAATGTACAAACTAAGCAGAGTAAATCTTAACAAAAAGTTTCAAATAATTTCTTTCCATGGTAATATACTACTTATTAATAAATAATTCTAGCAGTCAATAGCTGTTTCAGTAGTGTTTTTTTCCAGCTTCATTGCAATATTTACTTGACATTGTTGAACATTGAAGTATTTTGCTTATCATCAAGTCATTCACTGATTTCAAAGTATCATGAAGAAAAGTGATAACTAGAAAGTGCTCGGATTGTTTATGTGTCCCTGATTAAGAAAATTTCTTTGAGATGAATTCTTCGACACGGAGGTGAGCTTTTATTTTTATACTGACATGTGGGTGTGTGTGTGTAAGCAATGATTAAACTCAATTCGTTTTTCATTTTTCTAACTTTAAATAAAATCTTTCCCTTTTTCAATGATTATTATTTTTAGCAATCTGAAGCATGCAATACTACGAGTGAAGTTGCTTCTTCCGAAAATTGATCAGTAGTTTGTGTTTCTTAACGTACAAATTATGACTTTGAACCAAAAAAATGCAACAGCTTCTTTGAAAGTTTGAAATTATGGCTCTCAATTATGTTATTCTTATTATTATGATGATGATTATAACTGTGTGTTATTTTATTTTATTTTTTCAAAGATTAACACAATATTCATTGTGCAGTTATCATTGATCATGAATTGCATTTAAAATAAATGTTATTCAAGAGTTTCAATGATTTTCAATTTGAATGACGCGCATTATTTTGGCTTCAAATTTCAATGTGTATCTTTTTGTTTTTTTTGCTAATTTTCATGAAAATGTGTTCTTTTTATTTTAAAACAACAAACAGACTCATAGAAAAAGTGTTTAACTTGAAAAGATTTATAGTTTCAGATAATTATTACAAAAATAAATGAGAGTTAAATGACTATTGATTGATTGATATTCATCAGATTACATCTACATAGAGCATATGAATACTTAAACTCTCAGATATACATATTTGTGTTTGTCCAAAATTAACAATTGTTTCTTGTTGATTACAAATAAAAGAAATGTAATGATTCTTTTTTCTCTGTGTACACAGTTTATATTGTTGTTTTCAGTAGTATGATAAGAAGTTTGAAGGTTAACTGTACTTTTTGAATGTTTATTATTCTTTACTAGAAATCCTGATTAGTCAAGTTCCTTAACTTTCTTATCATCTGCCAGATGACCATTTTTTGCATTATCCTCTCTAAAATATCCGCATAAGTTAGGCAGGTCTGTTAAGGCGATAAGAATATAGGTTAAGGAAGAGATAAAAAGTGTCACAAGGAAGGAAAGCATATGAGCATGTAAACTTGATTTATTTTTTATTCAGAACACAGGAATAAACATTAAATGTCAGTGTTTGCACTCCTTTTTTACTATTGAAATATTGACCAGCGAGAATTTCTTCAAAGTGGAAAATTTTAACAAATCCGAAAATTCAAACAAAATATTTAGAAATGAACAATATTTTTTTTATTGACTGAGAACATTAATTATATGCGTAACGCAAAAATGTTCAATATCATGTTTTGGTTTGAGTTGAAAAATGTTAACGAAAATATGCCTTTACGAAAGTAGTTATGAAATTACTTTTTCTATACTCGATATATCAATATCGATCTATCGTTGATTTGGGTCAATATTGAAAAAAAAACTGTAATCGCATAACATAAACAAAATTTAAAAGTATTGAACTGTATTCGTAATCAAGTCATGAGTGATTACTGTTTATAAAAAAAAGAGCTCCTTACTATCAAAAACATAACATGACCATCATTTCTTTCTATTTCACTACTAGTAGTCATCAACCAATCTTTTTATGTGTTGATCAAAAAGTTATTGATCCAAGACAGTTTTATATGCATTACGGGGTTGTGAAGATTGTTAAGTTACACATTTTTGAAACCATGTATCGATCAATGTTAGACCACCATTAGAAACCTGAAAGCAATGGACGGCCGTTTCGTCCTGGTATGGGACTCCTCAGCAGTGTGCACCCACGACTCCTGCAGCCCGCAGGATTCGAATCTAGGATCTTCGGTATTGTGCGCCAATGCCCTAACCGTTAGACCACTGAGCCGGTATCTAACGGTGTTAATGTCTAACTTGATCAAATTCACGGATTTAGTCATTAACACCGTTGGATACCGGCTCAGTGGTCTAACGGTCAGAGCGTTCGCGCACAATACCGAAGGTCCTGGGTTTGAATCCTGCGGGCTGCCGGAGTCGTGGGTGCGCATTACTGAGGAGTCCCATACCAGGACGAAACGGCCGTGCAGTGCTTCCAGGTTTCTAATGGTGGTCTAACATTGATCGATACATGGTTTCGAAAAAGTTTTAAATGCGTTCTGCAAGCTAAAAATCAGCGTCTTTGTATGTAGAACAGATAGATTCTGATGAAAAACGGAAAACTATGTTGAATTCTACGACCAACTATACATGCATTCCAGTGTTGATGTTTGTAGTGTGTCTCCTGATAGGTTGAGCCCAAAAACTAATGAACCTGTTCTTTCTGTAATAATAGTGACTTGGCTTATTACCTTGTCAATCATTCGCTTATATCTTGGTTATTTTTGTTTATGTGTGTCCAAACTTACTTCACTCGTCACATCTCCAGCTTATTTTGTCTGACTATAAATACTTAGCCATGCAAGCCACTGCAAGTAGTTGACTCGCTTGCCTTATCGATTTCGCTTTGCTCCTTTGCTTGTATGCTTTTCATTCTCATGTTAACTTGCTTCAATGAATGCATAAACGGTTGCTTGAAAGATACTTATCCGAACCGAATTCGTATTAAGCTTCTAATTACTACCGTTGCACAACTGGTGCGTCGTCTAAGTATGATATATGAAAATCGAAGTGGAGATTTATTTCACAGCATTCTCGAACGTCATAAATAAATGAGCCACCTTCGCGTCAAAAGTGGTGAGTAGCCACATGTTCAAATGTGAAACTTTTTCAGTAATGGTTTTCTTATTGGTGTTTTTCCTATTTTCACCCAGAAACACTCAATATGAACTATCAAAATAGGTATCAACTTGTTTGTATCGATAGTCAAACTCGATTGTTTGAAAAAAAAACATTTGAAGCTTCTTTTAAAGACACCGTTTGGTTGTAATTGAAAACAAAATATATTTCTTTAGTCAACTAGCATGAATATGCTTTGTCAGTAAAAATATATTTCCATTGTCCTTTTAACTGTTCTACAAAGCACATGAATTGAAGTTAACATTTACTCCATATATATATATATATATATATATATATATATATATATATATATATATATAGAGAGAGAGAGAGAGAGAGAGAGAGAGAAGCATTAAAAAATATAACAAAACACTTCCTACAAATTTTAATGATTTCCATCAATGACCATTTCTGTTCATTGACATAAAATATTCCATGTACCCCCAACTTATCAGTTGGTTGCTGTGGCAAGTGTTGCCAATAGAAAAGGCTAATCAAGCATCACTATGGTAACATCAGTTATCATAAACAAAATGCATAGACATTTTGTTTGGGTTATGTAATTATTTTATTCATTTTTAACGAAATTATATAGCTCTACGAATTAGCATAATCATGAAACTAATGTGAACTTTCGCCGTGAAACTAATATAAGTTTCACAGTTGGAACATTTGACAAGTATGTTATATCATCTGATTAGTTCATTTGCATGAAAGGGTTGCGGTGATTGAAATCATGAACTGATCAATATTAGACAACCATTAGAAACCTGGAAGCACTGGACAACCGTTTCGTCATGGTATAGGTCTCATCATCCACCACTCCTGCTACGCACAGGATTCGAACGCATGACATTCGGTCTTGCGCATGGACGTTTAACCAATGAACGATCGAGTCAGTAACTAACGGTGTTAATGTCGAACTTCAATCAGTCAACGGTCTTTTGCAACCTCATGCACTGTCTTCAGTGAGCACTGTTTCACATCCAAACAGGGTTGAACTCCACTGGTCACCACTTCTCACTAGAACTCGGAGAAACCTCCTTGCAGAGCTAATCACTAGTGAGCACATGATAATTTACATGAAAGGGTTGTGGCGATCTTCGAGTAAGTTTTTGAAATCATGAGTCGATCAATCTTATCTGTGCATTGTAAAAGTTTTTTTGAAAGTCAATCGCATTCTATATACAATCATTCAGTTTTAAATCAAAAATATTTCCAACTTCTCTTACATGAACAATCATTATGTGCTTGTGATTGGACAACTTTATATTTGAGAGCATCATAAGAAATCCATGGAATTGTGTAGTTTGTCAATAAAAAGTGTGAACAAAAGTTTTACATCTGGCACTTATCGATTTTGAAGTCATATCATGAGCTGAACGAAGGAAAAAGAAATCTAAATTATTGACTAATATGAAGATTAAGCGTACATCTCGAGGAGTGAATGTTACTGACTGAATTCTTGACAAGATAGGGAATAAGAAGTCGTATGAAACCTTTCAGAAGGAAAAAAAACTGTCCAGTTATTCCTAGTTTTTAATAAGTGTCCAGATGAGATCAGTTTGTATTGCTGAGATTAAGCATTCTTCGAAAACTTACGGTTATAAATATTTGATGAAAGCGAATGATCCTCCTAGGATTCTCACGATTATATTCTCCTCTTAAGACATATCGAAATACATGTCAGCAATCAACTAATATTTTACATACTTAAGTTGTATACTAGACAATCGTTAGAGGATTGACTAGTGGAGTTCATCAGTATCAAGTAGGAGGAAGGTATGCATTAAAGACAATTAAGAACGGTAGCAAAGTCATTAGGGTCGACTGAAGTTAGAGTTGTACACCATTCGTGAATGATAGCGAAGGTCTTGATTTCAATCCACGTTGACAGGCTAGTGTGCACTTACTGGAGAGAAGTCTTACACTAGTATGAAACAGTTTTCAAGTTCTTCTAAGTTTCCAATGCGTATTCGACTTCTATTAGTCAATGAGCTCGACAATATTCAACAGTTTACACAACCTCCTTACGGATTAATATAAAAACGACCATTTATATATAGATATAACTGTTCAGAAATCACACTTGATCAATTGCACGAAGAACTTCTAGAAACAAAAGATAAACATCACTTGAATAACAATTGTTAGAGAACGTTTTATTATTATACTTCATCATCTTTGAATGTGAAATAATGGAGAGTTATTGTGTTTTGCCTTATCTGAGTAGATTTTAATAAACCAGCTTTGTTTCGTCAAACGATATACAAATAATTGTAGCAAAACATTTGAAGGTCAGAAGAGATAAAATAAAGCATTCAGTAGAAAAATATCTATTATTGAACTTTGATAAAAGATTTACAAGTATGGCAGCGATCATGTAACACTAACAATAATGATGATTTTAATCAAAGAAGTTAGATTCTGGAGAAAAAGGAGATTAAAGTAAAAAAGATGTTTCTTTTAGGTACATCATTCATCTAAAGATAAAGTT